CACACACACACACACACACACACACACACACACACAGAGCTTTCAATTATCTTACTTTCCCCATGGAAAGAGTTGCATTTGTTGGAGTTCGTTTATTCGCCCTCGAATTTGTTGGAGTTTGTTTTTCCTCCTTTCTTGAGAGAGAGAGGTTGGCCTTAATATGTGCATTAATTGCTCCGGGTTTCGGTTTTATTTTGTTAGTGCAGATGGGATTTCTGCCTGGGTAACCCTGGCTTCCAATGAAGCCGGTGAAAAGGCCGTGGCCGCGGCTTTGGCCCCTGGGGCCAACTTGACCGTGGCCCTGTGAGTACTGTCGAAGAAGATTGGATATCTCTAGGATAACAGGAGAAAACGGAACTTTGGAAGCTTTGCCTATAGCTGCTTGCTTGATTGTTTCACAGAACGCCGCTTTTCCGGGTCCCAATTTGTCTGGCATTTTCTCAGTCCCACTTGGCCAATACGTGTATACTACTGACCCAGAGAGAGGCTACAAAACCGAGGGATGTACTGCCTTCAACAAGAATTTCTGTGGACAGACTTTCCCGCCCCATTTCCCCTTTGGGGATTTCCAAGATTCGCCCAAATTATCCGGAAAATTGCCTGCGATGTCAGACGCTTCGGGCAAGAGTTGCTGTCAATTAAAATTGTTTGCTGACTAAATTGGTGAGCAAACCATCCTGATACTTCGTGAACTCAGTCCCCGGCCTGAGCCTCCAAACCTGGCGTCCGCGGGTCACGGTGGAGTCACCCACCCACTGAGCTGCGGAAAGGACAGCGGGTAGCGCAGGCTGGTGGGGCCTGGGAGTCGCAGGAGCGAGCCAGGCCTAAGCCCCGTGGCCTCCTGCGACGTGCCTCTTCCGGGGACAGGGCCCTCGGCTGCAGCCCCAATGCCCCGCATCCGCGGAGCCGCCTTCCCTGTCTTTGGCCTAGTCCGCGTGGACTGGGGCGCCTCGCAAGAGAGCCCCCCACCCCACCCTGCGTCCCCAGCCCGCTGGGACGGCCCCGTCCTCTGTAACACGCTTTCGCCAGCGGCTGCTTCTCCCAGAGCCACCAGTCTCGGCTGGTACCTTGTCGATTTCACAAACGGTTGGATTTTGTCTCCGGAGATCCGTGTCGGGATCCGAAGATGGAGCCAAGGGTGGCCGCCGATTTGCACCGGGAAATCCGTTGAGCGCAGGCGGACTTTCAAAAGCCTGAGACGCGATCGCTTCGCAGCTCAACCGGGCCCCGCCTGGGGCCGCGAGCCGGGCCGCGCCGGGGCCTCCGGCGCCGCGTTTTCTAGAGAACCGGGTCTCGGCGCTGCTCACTTCAGCCCCGTTTGGAGGCCGGCGACGAAACCCTACCGGAACGAACACGAGCGCGTCTGCGCTCTGTGCGCAGCGGTCCCGGAGCGCGGGGAAGCGGCTTCTCGGCGAGGCGAGGCTGCGGCGGGAAGGGAGCACGCCTTGTGGGGACCCGTGGACTCGGAGGAGCAGCCGGTGAAAAACGCGGAGTTGACGGCCTGCGACGTTAGTTCCCGGAGATCAAGAACTTTACGGACCGAAGAGCCCCCACCCTCCGAGACCAGCGAGCCGAACGGGGCCGGCGCTTCAAAGAGCGCCTTTGTTCCGGCCGCTGGAGGGGAAGGAGGTGACCTCCGCCGCGTGGCCCGCCTCCCCCTTCTCCTAGCCCCAGACTCTGCCTCCTCAGCGTCCGGTCTCTCCCCCAACACTGCAGCCGGAGGCTGGGGCTCTACGGACCCCCAGCCACCTCTTTACAGAGTCCCTATTGCTAGTTCCAGCCCGGGCCTGGAAGAGTGTTTCCAACTCCCGGGAAAGCTATGCCGACCCCTTGCCCTGTCTCAGGCTGGCAGCCGCTTTGCAGCCTGGGATCCCGCTGTCCTGGCGGGTCAGCGCTCCGCTGCCTGGCTCATTCTCTTCCTCTGTCCGAGCAGACCAGTCGTGGGAAAGAGACCTTGGTGGGATGGACCGGGCTTCCTCCCTCCTGGTCAGAGTGAGCTGGGCCCAGGCACATAGCGACCTATGGCACCAGCCTCAGAAACAGAACCAACCGATCAGTTTGTTGCTGGGAAAAATCCTGCTTCGTTTAAAATAAGATGACTTGTTTACACTTAGCAGCTCCTTAAATAATTTTCCAGCCTCGTGTTTGGCTGTGGTTGAGTTGGAAGGAACCGTGATTGTTTCAGCCTGTGCATTTGTACACGGCTGCAGGATATGTATCACCCAGGATAGGGCATTATAGGCGCTGTTTTCTCCGCTGGGCAGACTCCAGACAATGTAGCTTCCCCCTGAGATAGCCAGACAGGAGGCGAAGAGGCACATGTCTGTCAGAAAGGGCAGACTGTGTTGTTCCTGTCTTACACGTTGACACAGAGAACTCCAGCACACAAGTGACATACCACAGAGTCCAGTCACACACACTGGGGCCTCCTGCCTCTGTACATCCCCCTCACTTCCACTCCTGGGCCCTCTCCTCACTGCCTCCTTGAGTCACTTCACTTCTGACCAAGCTGGCACCTGAAGCCTGGGAGTGCTGGGCTGAGCAGGGCTTTCTTCCTCCTTGCGGCTCATCTGTCCAGAGGCAACCATGGCAGAGACTCCTAAGGGGCTCCAAATGGCAGGTTTTTGAAGCAATCTGTGTTAACATCTCCAAGTGTTTGCTTCCCACAGAGCCGCTCCTTTTCCTGGCCCACACCCTCCGGACTTTGTTTCTCCGGATTCCAACCTTAGAGCAAGCTCCTCCTGTCTCTCCCCCTTACCCTCTCTGTCCGGCCTTCTCCCCTGACCATCTGTCCCCTCCACCATCCCAAGGGAACAGAGTCTTGGGCCTGCCCCCTACCTTGCAGGGCCCAGTGTCTCCCCACCTCCCGCCCTCCCCCCATGACCTGTGCAGGGATCCCTTTTGTCCCAGTTGGGACCCAGCCACTTAAGCTGGAGAAGGTCATTGGAAGCCAGTGACTTTTCAAAGTCCCTGGTCCTGGTCAGGAACTTTGTCTGCCTCACCTCCTAGCCCCTCATTCCTTGGTCAGCCCTGCTGCACAGAAAGCTCCAGCCTGTCCTGGTGTCCAAAGCCCAGGGATCTGGGGAAGGAGGGTGCAGTTCCTGTTCTGCAGCAGAGGGGCATGAACAATCCCCTGGAGAGTTGATCTCAATTACCGTATATACTTGTGTATATGCCAAGTGTGTCAGCACATTCTTTAATGCCGTTTTTTGTGGTAAAATTAGGTGCCTTGGCTGATATTCGGGTCGGCTTATACTCGAGTATCTATGGTATGTGCCTTTGCTACACTTACATAAATATTACCAGCCGTGGGTGGGAGATGCCAATTGAATTATCCAGATCATTGTCTCAAGAGCAAAACAACAGGTCAGATTGAGTGGAGCCAGTGGCCATCTCTCCGAATAAATTAATTGGATCAGTCAATCTCAACAGCGAACTCTGTCAAAACATTCCATGGGGCTGTGCATGGCTGGTGGGTCTGGGGACTGCTATGTGCTGTTGCCTGCGAGCCCCTGGGTGGTGGTGCTCGGGTGCAGTCAGGGCCCGTGGGAGTGTGTCACAGCCTCTCTGAGACCGGGCTGTGGGTAGACACTAGCTGTAGTTTCCATGTAGTTCCTGACCTCCACCCCAGCCTCATGTAGCCCTGAGTTAGCCCTTCTGAGTATGAGAGCAGAGCCCCAGGCTGGGCAGCATTGGCCAAGGGACAGTCGCACTGCTGAAAATTCTGTACAGTAGAAAGGAGAACAAGACAGTAGGGAGGCTGGAGCATATATTTATACACGCCCATGCAGAAACCGATCCATCTATATATATTAGAGAGAAAGATGACAGCTAGATATTTATACATGTGTTTCCTTAGCACATGGGCTTATTGAGGGATGCAGCAAGGCCTTTGCTCAGCAGAGAGGGGAAAGGGTCTCCTGTGGGAGAAGGGTTTCACCCTAGAGGTTGGGCATCTGGGTCTCCTGCAGGCCCGGAGAGGAAATGGGCGGAAGGTCAGGCCATTGAACTAGTCCCTGGCCTGTTCTCTACTGCAAGAGAGAACCCAGACCTGTGGGCAGCCTTCTGGGAGCTAGTAGCTTGGACTTTTGGCTGCTGATGTAACCGGGTGAAGAGGAAACTGGGGATGTTCTAATTCCCCAGTCCGTTTGGCCTAGGGGTGCCTTGCACTCTACTCCTTTTATTGTCCTTCGGGTGCCTCATCCTGCCTCCTCTCGGACCACCCTGAGGGAAAGGTATTTCAGCAACCCCACACTCTGAGGCACTGTGGGGACTCCAACTCCCATCCACCGAATATGGGCTTCCAAGGACCGGCATCTTTAAGGGAGCAATGTGGTGGGGCTGAGCAGCCAACCTGGCGGTTAGCAGACCAGCGTTTACCGACAGCGCCACCAGGTATACGCCGGCTTAATTAAAAGCAAAGGGACCTGGTGGTGCAGCGGTTAAAGAGTTCGTTCTCATTCGGCTGCTAACCAAAAGGTCAACGGTTCGGTTCGTACCAGCCGTTCTGACAGCGATGGGTCTCCCTAGACGCTCTGATGGAAAGTAATTCATTCTGAGACTCAGGGACAAGGGCAGCGTCCGGGGAAAGAAAGGGCAGGGGAGGAGAGGCCAGGGACTTTCCCCACCTCTGGGTCGGCGCAGCTCGCCCAGGGCTGGTGGGCACTGCGGGGCAGCCCAGGGACGGGGAAGGAATTGGAGAGGAGGAGGAGGAGGGCCTAAGGGAAAGGGGAGTGGGTGTGTCCAAGGCTGAGGGGGGACCGCTGGGCTCACCTGCGCCCCTTCTCTCTGTACCTGCGTGTGTGGCCCGGCGGCGCGGCGCGGCAGCGAGCGACGTGCCCCAGGACGGGCTGCTTCTGCACGGCCCCTTCGCGCGCAAACCCAAGCGGATCCGCACGGCCTTCTCGCCCTCGCAGCTGCTGCGGCTGGAGCGCGCTTTCGAGAAGAACCACTACGTGGTGGGCGCCGAGCGCAAACAGCTGGCGGGCAGCCTCAGCCTCTCTGAGACGCAGGTAATCACCCCTCTCTGGCCACAGCTTCCCGCCCCCTCAACCACCCTCTGTGGAGTTCTCTCCCACCCGACTCCAGGGGCCACCCCAGGTGCTTCCACCTGCCTGTCCGCAGAGCTCCTGCCTCCGGGAGCACAGGCGGCCCAGAAGTCAGCAGAGGAAGCCAGGGAGGTGCCAGGCTGCCGAGAGCTGGGCTCAGCCCCTCCCTTGTGCCCCTTCTGGGATGCTGGCCGTTTCATGGGGTGAACAGGCCCTCCTTGTGCTGAGTCCACAGCTATTCATGGGCGAAGCTGGCAGAGGCCTGGCCTGCCCAGCATCCAGGGTGGAGGGTAGGCGGCAGCCCGAGTGTCCCTAGGCAACCACAGACACAAGAAGCCAGGGACTTTGCCTGGAGCAGTCCGGCCCCTGGGGGAAGTAGGCAGCCTGTGCCGGCTGGCCGCAGGAACGGGGAGTTTCTGGGGTCGAGGGGCGCACTCTGGAGCCTCTGAGAGGCCTGGGGTGGCGGGGAAAGCCCAAGAGGTCCCCAGAGCTGTTTTCAACCATGCCGAAGGCTGTCCCGAAAATGAGGGGGACAGACTCCTGTGGTTTGGGCAGGTTTGAACTGGGTGAATTAACAGAGTTTGGGAATTGATCAATGATTAGCATTTTCCAAGAAAACAACTGAGAGGTCGATTTGGGTCCCTCACAAGGATATACCTGATGCCCGGAAGCCACCTGGTTTAGCTAGCAAACGAAGGACCTGCTCCGAATACTGCCTGGAGGTGGATGTCAGTGTCTGGGTGAGCTTAAGGAGACAGGAATTTGAGGGGGCGGGGTAGCGCTGAGCTACCCTAGGTATTTCATTTCCAGCCTCACCACTTCCCCTCCAGTCTCCTAGCCACCCCTGTTCCAGAGGGGATAAGGCAGCCTATGGCCTCTCCTCTCCATCAGGGATGTGGGTGGTGGGTGAGGGTAGGAGCCTGGCTCACATATCACTTCATCGGAATGGCTCCTGGCTTCTCTGACGGTGTTCAAGAACTCCGGCTTCCCAGCTGGACTGTTCTAACTGCAGAGGAAAATGCTTTCAAAACAATGGAATTCATTTAAAAAAATTTTAAAGAAAGAAATCTATTTAAAAAAATAAGTTCATAAATAACAGCCTCTTCTCACCCCCCCCAAAAAAAACTGGGTTTTAAGATTGTTGTTTTAAAAAGGTGTCAATTTTAAGGATGGTATTTATCATTAACTTCACTTAAAATGAATATTTATTAAGTTTTCATCATGGCCGCATAAGGAAACAAACAAAACAAAAAGGCTTATCGTCCCACCACCCACAGATAACACTTGTTGAAATTATGTCATTGTTTTTAGACTTCCTGCTTATTCCGCTCCTTGAGAGCATTTTTAATTAACCGCCTTTCAAGTGGAATCTCGCTGCCTGTCAATATTTGCTCCTGTTAATGCCAGTTATGAAATGGATGTTTTTGTTTTTATTACGAGGCCTTTACAACATGCATTCAGCAAACCGGAGAGATTCATATACATAGCTACTAAAATTCCATCTAGAAGTGGGCTTTCTTTGTGCGTGTGGAAGAGCAACCACCACAAGATAGAATCAGGGGAGGTTTGACCCTTTAGGCACCACCATGTGGAGACCGGGAGGTCTTTCCAGGTGATGAGCCCAGAGCCAAGTGGAGCTTCTATCAGAGCCGCTCCCCTGCTGAGACGTTGCAAGAGTTACTTAACCCCTGAACTTCAGCTTCCTCACCCAGAAAATGGGCTGTCGGAGGATGAAAGGCACCTAACAGGAGCACCAGGGAGCCCTGGTGGTGAGGTGGCTCCAAGTTCTCCTTTGTGTGCGGCAACTAACCATCAGGCCCCCTCCTTGGGAGAAGATGAGGCTTTCTGCTCCCACTGAGACTCACAGCCCTGGAAACCCTATAGCAGGTCGCCCTGAGTCAGAGCCAACTCAGCAGCAGCAGGTTTGGTTGGGGTTTCGTAGGCACTCGGGAGCCAGAGCCCCTGGGTTACACATATGGTTAACTTGTGCTCAGCTGAAAACCAAAGTGGGAGATTCAAGTCCACCAAAGGACCTTAGAAGAAAGACCTGGTGATCCATTTCTGAATAGCCAGCCCTCGAAGTGCCCCTGGGGGCACAGTCCTCCTCTGACAACCCATGGGGTCGACAGGAATTGGAATCAGCATGAGCTCAAAGAATATTCATTTCCATCTCCTGTCTATTCCCTTCCCCTTATTTAACATACTATGTCGAGTTAGGGCAAAATAAGATCCAAATGTGGGCTCCTTTACCTTCCAGTGTTCCTTTGGCCACACCATTACCATGGTCAGAGGCGTCTTTGTCATTTACCTGGTAATGTATCATCTGGACATAGGGAATATATAATAAATGAGTGAATTATCTCTCCATCTCTCAGTAGTTACCAGGCAGGCTTACCTGTCACTTCCAGCTATCAGCTAATCTCCAAGCATCAGTCCCTCCCATCAACCCCCTGCTATGTCTGAGGTCAAGATCTATATTTGTCTCTCAGAGCTCTCAAATCTGTCCTCCACAGATAGCTGTTTCACATCTAGCCATCTACTGTCTATTCTCCTTAAACTACCTCCCTAAAGCTAGCTCATTTCTATTTTCTATTGATGAGAGATGCCCTTCTTCCTGACAATAACTTCTACCTACCCATCAGTGGGTTCTTTGTCTCCTATTTCGTTTTTGCTTCTGTGCATCTATGGGTAACCTCAGGTTCCCTTCTCTGTAGAGCTCCTTGGTGATGGGCAGAGCCTATATTCATGTCTGTTCATGATACTCTGTCATCTTGCTGGGGACAGCTTTGACTTCTCTCTGGGCCTCAGTTGCCATGTCTGGGCCATTGAATGACATGAGCTCTAGGCTTCTCTCCGGATTTCTGTGGCTCACCTGCTTTGGTCCAGCCCCTCCTCCACGTGCTCAGCGCTCACCATACGGCTCCCTCCTATCATGACAGGCACCAGCCTTGCCTCCAGGAGCAGTCCCCTCCCCCCAAAATCTATCAACCAGTTCCCAAGGAGATCTTAAAATACGGTTTTCTCTTAGGAGGTCTAGGATGGGGCCCAGGAAAAGTATTTTTAAAGCAAATCCCTGGGTGCTACTGATGATCCAGATGTCTGGTTGTCTTAGCTCTGGAGGGCAGAGGCTGAGCCTGAGCCTGTGTTTTTTGCTGTATCCCACCCAAGCTTAGAGCCGGCAAGTAGAGGCCCCACGAACATGTCTGGAGTGATAGGGGGCACATTTCTTGTTAATCTGCACACGCCCAGCCACTCACTTTATTGGTCATTCCTCCTTGCTCTCTCCCTGCCCCTCCCCTTCCATCTTTCTCCTGCACTCACCTGCACCACTGGTTATTAAGCCGCCGCTATTCTCCGATAAAGCTTCTGAGAGGGGTGAGCAGAGCAGTGTGTGAATTTTAGCCCAGAGCTCCGAGGTCCCCATTGGCTCGAGCCTCAGGAGTGGTTGCCAGGTGAGCTACTTGAGCAGCTTTGTTGGGGTGCACCTGTGTGTTTGGTGCAGAGAGTGGGAGATTTGGGCTGAAATGGCTAGGGGGTTGATCCGGGTGGGAGGAACACTGACCAAGAGCTCGTTCTCTCTTCCGGCACCAAGGACTTGTTCTTCCTTGCTTCGGTGCAGCCCTAGAGCCTGACCAGACTGACCTTGTGTCCACGGGGCAGACCCAGGCTGGAGTGAAATCAGAGCCCTGAGTGTGCACCATGTGCAGGATGTATATTGGGTCATGGAGTCAGGTGATACCAATATGTACACACCAGGTGCCAGTAGGCGATCACTTGACATGAGGGTTGGGTCAGATGAATTCATGGTAATGACTCTTGCATGATTTTATCTCTGAGTGTATTGGGGGTGGAGCTCAAGGGTCGGTCTATGCCTATCGGTTGGTTTCTAGTTGCCCCTTCTGTCCAGCCCTGGTTTTGGTTACTCCACTGGGCAAGAAGCCACCCACAACGCCCATTTAGAGTAAGGTGATCAGATTTTAACATTGGTAAAGCGGGACACCATTGATAAAACTCATATCTTGCTGAAATAGCCACATGGCAGCCGAAAACCGTATACCCTAGCTTGTCATGCATTCTTTCCAAAAATCGGGACTTTTGTAAAACACGGGAAAAATTGTTAAAAATCGGGACTGTCCCACCAAAAAGCGGGACATCTGGTCACCTTAATTTAGAGGCAACCAGAAAGAGTGATTTTCTTGGATATTTTCAAGGCAAGCCTATGGGAACATCTGAACAGGGCTTTGAAGGCTCACTAAGAGTTCTCTCATTTGGGTAAGCAGAAGAAGGTAGTGAGTCTTCAAAGGATCTGACTTATCATAGATGTCCAGGGAAATGGGGACTTGGGAGACCACAAGGAACCCTCATCAAACCCAGAGGTCAGAGGCGGGAAGGGGTCCTCCAGTCCAATATCACTGACTCTTAGGGCTCGCTCATTGTTGTTAACGGTATCAAGTCAGCTCCGGCCCATAGCAACCTTATGCCCAACAGAACGAAGCACTGCCCGGTCCTGCACCGTCCTCACCATGGTTCCTGTGCCAGAGCCCATTGTGGCAGCCATGGTGTCAATCCATCTCCTTGAGGGCCTTCTCTGTTTTCACTGTCCCTCCACTTTGCCAAGCATGATGCCCTTCTCCAGGGGATGGTCTCTCCTGACAATATGTCCACAGTGTGTAAGACAAAGTCTTGCCATTCTTGCCTTTAAGGAGCACTCTGGTCATACTTCTTGCAAGATAGATGGGTTTGTCCTTTCAGCAGTTCATGGTACTTCCCATATTCTTCTCCAGCACCACGATTCAAATGCATCGATTTTTGATTTTTCTTCGGTCTTCTCTATTCAATGTCCAACTTTCATCATGCCTTGGGCCAGGTGTTCTTTTGGCCTCAAAGTAACAGCCTTGTTTCTCAGTACTGTACAGAGGTCTTGTGCAGAGAGATATTGCAATATGTCTTTTGATCCCTCAAGTGCTGTTTCCATGGCCATTGATTATGGATCCAAGCAGGACAAATCCTTGGCCACTTCAACCTTTCCTCATTGAGCATGATGTCACCTATTGATCCAGTTGTGAGGATTTTGGTCTTCTTGACCTTGAGTTGTGATCCATACTGAAGGCTGCGATCCTTGATCTTTGTTGGCAAGTGCTTCAAGCCTAAGGACTCGGCTCTCCACTTTGAAGGTTGTAGCCACTGAAAACCTCAGGCATAGCTTCAAAACACTGGGGTCGAGCAGTGCCAGGATTGATTAGATGGCAGTGAGGGAAGCCTTGCGGGGAGAGGTGTGCCATGGGGGGTGGTAGGCAAACTAAGCAGGGCCTCCTATGGTTGGCTCCTGCAGAGCTGGGGCTGCACCACATGTGGAGTGGGGCCCACCTCAGGTTCTCTTTTGCAGTGAAAAAACCATGATGCATTGTTATGGGTAACGCGTCAAAGGGCATTCAGAAAAGCCCCTAGAAGAAAGGAAAGTCGGCCAGATTTTTGGTGTGTTTCCTTCCAGTCTTTTTCCCTCCATGCATAGATTTGTTTTTCCCTGGAATGATCACACTGTGCCAACCCCGGGCCTCCTGCCTTCCCCACGAATGTTAGGAAGTCGTCAGCACCCCCTGTTATGATATAGTCCTGGTAAACAGCATCTGGACCCTCAGGCCCAAGGCTGTTCTCCGGAAGAGAGCTGGGCTGTGTTGGGAGAGCGCCAAGGTCCGCAGGGCTGGCACACACTCCTTTTAGAGGGTGCCTCCTTGACCTTAGGAGTTTCCGGAGGGGAACATCTTTCGAATCACTTTCATTGGGCTCTGCTCCCCTGTTCACAAAACAGCCCCCGTCTCAAGGGCTACCACGGACACTTTGGTGCCCTGCAGGGGTCCATCCCACTAGAAGCTAGCTCTGGGTGCGGGGGAGGAAGAAAGGTGCAGCAAACAGCCCTCTGTCCCTGCTGCTGTCCGGGACTGCCCTGCATGCCTACCCCAGCACCACGCTGGCCAAGCCCTCAGAGCCAGCCCACTTGAGTGTCTCAGGAATGATGCCCCAGCCCTGCATCCAGCCCTAAGTCCTGGGCATGCCTTGCACAGGAGGCAGGGCGAACTCACCCACCTACTGGCTGGCATAGCCACCATGGGCTGCAGGGCGGGGGGCAGGGGCCAGGCTGGCTGCCAACTGGTTGTACTGGGAACCACCCAGGGCTTAGCCGGGGGAGGTGGGAGGGGGCATGGGATCTAGAAGGCCTTCGCCTGGAACCTTTGCTGGCCTTCTGGTCCATCTGGGATAAAGATGTGGGCAGGTTTGAGCCCTGCTTTAGAAATAAGGGATGCAGGCTCATCCCTACACCTGGTCCATCCAGACCCAGCATCTCCTCTCCCTGAGCTGGGCCTTTCTGCCCCTGGCTGACTGCTTTGTGTAGCTCCGAGTCCTGGCTGAAGGAGACCTGGTGCTGTAGTGGTTACGAGTTGGACTGCTAACTTCCAGGTCCGCAGTTTGAAACCAGCAGCCGTTCTGCAGGAGAAAAACGAGGCTTGCTACTCCCATAAGGAGTTACTGTCTCAGAAGCCCACAGGGGCAGTTCGACACTGCCCTGTAGGGCTTCTCTGAGTTGGCATTGACTCGATGGCAGAGTTTGGCTCTTGGTTTGGAGCATTGGCTGGGCCAGCCCCATCCTCGGCTCTGGAACCAGGGGTGGCAGGTGCTGTAGCAGCAGCCTCGGGCAGAGGAGCCCCTGGGGTGGATGGGCTGCATGGAGGGACCATGAGAAGTGGCGGAGCAGGAGAGACCTTCGGGTGTGGCATCAGCGAGCTTTAGGCTGCTGCTGCTTGGCTTTGTGGTCTGTGCTGCTCGCCTGTTTAAGAATGGCCAGCACTGGGGACTTAGCAGTACCTGCCAGCTCATTACCACCCACACCTGGCACCTGCCCTCCCGGCATCACTTCCACAAGGGGGGTGACTGAAAGTCTCGAGCGAGTGGTCCTGTGCCTAAAGGACTTGGGTCCAGAGGGTGGAAGGGGCTCAGCCAGGGTTCCACACCCAGACCCCTCCTCCCAACTCTGAGGAAGGGGATCTGGCCCAGCTTGGCAAAGCCAAGTCAGGAGCAAGGTAGCCAGCCCTGTGGGGCAGCCAACGTGAGCTCTTCGCACAGTGCGCAGCACTGGTTCCGAAGCCAGGCTGAGCCCCTCAGATGATGCACAACAGGGTGCAGGGGACGGCATCCCTCCCTGCCTCCTGGACACTGAGGGAATGCTGGGAGAGGAGGGAGAGGGGGAGGATTTGAGATGAGACAAGTCTGGGAGGACTTCCTGGAGGACCCAGGCCTAGAGTAGCCCACCTGCTGCCTCCCTTGCTCTCTCCACACCAACACCTGAGCTAGGGGTGGGGTGGGGGAGGAAGTGGGGTGCAAGAGAGAGCCGTTATCCAGCTCTGTTTGGACTCGCCCCGACCAGGGTGCCCCCTGTCCCACACGGTGCTTCCAGAGGAGCCCCCCTCAGGAAGTTTCACTCCACCTGGGGGAGCCTCCCAGGGCAGGGCTGGGGGGCTGAGTCCAGAGCACTACGGGAGGGGGTGGGTCACAGACCGACCCTCTCTTCATCCGTTCCACCTGACGTGGTGAAGTCTCCTTGGCAGGTTTCTCTTGCTTACGTCGCCATATCCAAGCCACCTCGTGGTGCAGCTGGTGGCTGTCCGTGGCACCTTGGGGACACACAGGCCAGCCCAGGGTGAGGGACCACGGCCCTCGGGGAACCCCCCAGGACCCATGCCACTGGCTCTGCACATGTTCCCTCATTCACATCAACACTGTGAAGGATTGATAGCCGCCATCTCTGCCCTAGAAAGCAGGGGGACCCAGGTCTGCTGGCCCTGAGGCTGGAGCCCTGCACCCACTCCACAGCACCCCCACATTGCTCCAGCCTCAGGAAGCAAGAGGCTGCTCTGCGGGAGCTCCCTCTCTGCCCCCCCAGGACCCTCTCTCTTGCCTCTGTCTGAGAAGGACAGAAGTGCCCCTCACTCTGGCTCCGACTCACCCGCACCCAGAAGAGGCCTGGCCCTAGGTGGCCTGTTTTCCCCTGGCCCCCAGCTCTGCCTGAGAGCGGAGGCCCTGGCCGCTGTTGGGGGGAGAGGGAAGCGCTGCTGGGTTTCTCACCTCTGCCCCCGGCCCCGGCCCAGGTGAAGGTGTGGTTCCAGAACCGGAGGACGAAGTACAAACGGCAGAAGCTGGAGGAGGAAGGGCCTGAGTCTGAGCAGAAGAAGAAGGGTTCCCACCACATCAACCGGTGGCGCCTGGCCACGAAGCAGGCCAACGGGGAGGACATCGATGTCACCTCCAACGACTAGGGCCACACGGCCAGAGCCACGGACAGAGTGCCGCTCACACCGCTGCCAGGTCCCGGGGCCCCAGTGCGCTCTGGCCACTCCAGGGCCGGCTGCTGCGCTGCGGGATGCCTGGAGTCCTGGCTCCAGAGGGCGTGGAGCCAGGGTCCTTTTGACAGGGGACAAGACCTGGGCTGGCTGAGGTCTGGGCCCGCCTGCCTACTGGGCCATCTCCTGGGAGAGCCTGCCGCCTGGGCCTGCCGTGCACCACGGCAGCCTCCTGGCTGCTCTCTGCTTCCTCTCTCACCTCCAGTTTGCTTTCCATGCATTTCTGTTTTAATTTATTTTCCAGGCCCTCCTGTAGTTCCCAGGGTGCTCCTTGTGTCTCCTTTCCCTATGGGAATAAAGTCTTTCTCTTCCGACTTGGACATCCAGCTCCGACCCCTGCCCCCCAGAGCCTGGGAGCCTCCGGTGGTGGTGGGCTCAGACTAGGGCAGGTGGGGCGGGGGTGGGGCTAGGACCAGGGGTTGCTGTAGTTGGTGGTCAGCACCCGCCTGGCCCCAGGGCACAGAGGGGAGGGTTTCCTGTGTCGGGAGGAGGCTTGGGTCTCTCCCAACTGATGGGTGGCCCCAGGGTGTCAAGGAAACCTTCCCTACGCGTGGGGCTGTAGACACTGCTGTCACGTTTGTCAGCTGAGCGGGGACCAGCTGGAATGGGTGAGCTGGGGGCTGTGGGGAGAGGGCATTCCCAGAGCCACCAGTCCTCACACCAAGTGCTGGCCCCATCCAGATGCTTGCTTGTCCCCAGAGAAGCCCCCAGGGCAGATGACAGGTTCAGAGAGAGAGGGCTTAGGCAGAACCTACAACCTGCTTCCAGGATCTCCCCACCCAGAAAAGAACCCCCAGGCGGGGCCCACTGAGTTTGGGAGCTCGCCGGCTGCCTTTCACGCTGTCCACTAGGCCCAGAGTAAGGTTTTCTTGCTCCTAAAACAGCAAAAGCTGGATCCCAAGAACCTTCTTCCCCTGAAGACAGCATCCAAGCTTGTTCCTACGCCTTCCCCTCCCTCAAGGGCTCTGTCACCAACATCAGTCGCCGTCACCCCCTTGTGGCCAAACCCAGCCACCTCTCATCTGAGCCCACCTGCCTGTCTGCAGGATGGCCCCTGTGGCCAGTCCCTGCAAACTCCATCTTCTGCCTTCACGTTAGTGGCTGCGGCACCTCCTCCTGCCCCACCGAGTTTTCCTGAGTCTCCGCCCGGCCTCCCCTCCCCTCTGTCCTCTTCACAGTCGCTCCTGATTCCTACTGTGTGTGACCTCCCCCTGCGAGGATGGCTTCCATTCCCGGGACTTGTCCTCTGCTTCCAGACCTGCTGGACTCTGTTGACCTCATGCCCCTCAGCATAACCAACCCATCTCCAACCCAACTGGGTTGGTTCCCTCCCCTGGTCTCAGCAGGATCTCCCAGCTTGGCAGAGCGCATTAACCATGTACACTGCTTCCCAAGCTGGAAGACACGCAGCCTGCTCCTCCTGCCTCTCCTCTCATAGGCACCTAGCCTCTCAAGTCCCGAAGGGTTTCTCCACAGGCTGAGTTAACGTCACACACCTCCGCTCACCATGCCGCCAGGCCTGGTAGGCCACACGGGGGGCCACAGTGATTTCTGTGGATGCTGGAGGTGACACCCTCCACGCCGAGGCTGGGTGTCTCTCCCTTGAGCCCAAAGAAGACAATGTCTTCCCTGTGGCTCACACGCCCCAACGTGGAGCCATCCCTGGCCGCTCCTACCTCAGTCCTGGTACCCTGCACATCAGTCTGGCCCACGGCTGCCCGTCTCAGACCAAGCTGTGGCTTCCCGGTGCTGTTCTTCTGCATAAGCTGTTCTACTGTCAGGAGTTCTGGGGGGCACCCCACCGCTGCTTGAGAAATGTTGAATTCATTCGAAAGGTGTCCAAGACCTGGCCCTACTGCCTGGTCACACCCTGGGGTTCAAGCCCAGGAAAGCCTGCTGCTGGGCCACAGACCCGGACCCTCCCCACGCTCTGCCCAGCTCACTTGTGCCCCGTGCATTCTAGGAACTGAAGAGGCTTGGCTTTGCCCCCATGTTCATGCCCTCACGGACGAGGACACCCTGCCCATCACTTCCCAAGCAGAGAGAGAGAGGGAGGGAGAGGGAGAGAGAGAGCTCGCTGCCAAACAGAGGCCCATGTTCTCGGGAGTGAGTCGTGACCAGTGGAGAGGGGATGAGAAGAGGCACCCCTTCTGACGTGCAGGGAGGGGCCAAGGAACAGTGACCCTCCCCTTTCAGATTCTAGCTCCCTTGGTAGGGGGAGGGGACAAGCCAATCCCGGCGGAGCACCCCTGTCCTCCAAAGGAGGGTTGGAATGGGCTCCAGCAAACCTACCACTCTCTGGAGGCCGGGGGCGGGGTGGGGAGTCCCTGCCGCCCTCCCATCCATCCCCCATGTTGTGCCTCTCCCTGCAGACGGTAAATATTGGTGTTGTGACTTCATTAATAAAGGCTTCTGTGAGCCTGAAAAACATGGAATCAGGATGAACTATTTTCTGAGCGGCGGGCTTGCCAGGTTTGCTAATTTGGGAGTTTTTGGGCCCTATCCAGGGAACAAACCAAAGTCTCTCAGAGAGACACACAGATGCAGCAGAGAAGGGGAGAAGACGACAAGGAATGGGGGCCCTCCCCCACCTGGAGCTCAGGGCCCAGAGGAGGCCGGCCTGCTGGGGTCCTCAGCTGCAGACAGGGAGCTGGTCAGCCAGGCCTCCAGGCAAGGGCCATGAGTGGGGCGTTTCCTCTGAGGGGGCCCCCGCCCAACCCCAGGCAGAGGTGCTGGAGAGTGTGGCAGGAGCTCCAGTCCACAGTACCTTGTGAGGAGCGAGGTGGTCCCACTCTGGGCCTAAGCCATGGGTCTTGTCTTTAGGAAATGGCCTTTACACAGCCTCTTGTCCATAGAACTTTCCAGAATGAGTCGCCACAGCTCTCCTGGCCTCTGGAATGGCATTTGCACCAGTGCTGCCCCCCTGGCCCACTGCTGCATCACTCCTGTGGGCCTTCTGGGAGGCCTGGTGGAGTGGACCGAGGGCAGCCCAGGGGCCAGGATGGGGACCAGCGGCCTCTGCTTGAGCCCCGTCCAGGGGCAGCCTTGGCTGGGGGAGGGGAGGCCAGCAGGCTGATGGTGCAGGCCCAGCCAGCTTTCCTGTCAGACGGGCGCTGCCAGCGCGGAGCCAGACATTGGGAACAGGTTTAACCAATTACCCGAGCGCCCCATCTGCTGTCTGGGGTGTGTGCGTGAGGGTGCATGCGTGTGAGGGTGTCTGTGAGGGCTGGGGGTGTGTGTGCACGTGTGACTGGGTGGGTGTGGGTGGGCAGGCGGCTGTGCACGTGGGTGCACAGTGGCTGCATGTCCCGGGCTTGCCTCTCTATTTGGCAGCCACCTTAGTCTTTCTGTCCCCTCCCCAAGCTCTTGGGTCCACAGGGACACCCCTCCCAGGATGCCCCACTTGGTCCCATCCTTGAGGCCGACCTCCTCCCAGGACGCCCCACTTGGTCCCATCCTTGAGGCCGACCTCCTCCCAAACCACGGATTCAGATGCCCTCACCCACCTGCACGAACTGTTCGCTCCCTCCCTCCCAGCCCAGTCCTGCTGCCCATGCATGGGCTTGCTTCCTGCCCTCCCCCTCGGCAATGGCTTTGGACAGAGTCCGATCACTCCTGCTCCTGCTCTCCTTGGCTGCACTTGCCTGGTGAAACTTCATGTTCCCCAGGACAGCAGGTGGTGGTCTCAGCAGGCTTCCAGCCCCCAGCGGCCCCCACCCCC